GAAAAAGAATCATCCGATTTTTTTTTTTCTTTTCTTTTGCATATGCGTTTAATAAAAGCAATAGTCGTAATTGAGAGTCGCAAATTCTTGCGTGTGAAAGTATGATTGAAGAAATATGTATTGTATTTTTGTTTAGAAGCTTCTAATTAAGAAAAATTAAATTTAATACGAATATTTTTATTTCACAATTCTTTGTATACCCAACACGAAAGATGCAAATGGATAGAGAGGATATAGATAATATAAAAATAGGTAGAACAGATTCTCCTATCATAGAATATTTGTAAATTTAATCAAAGAAGAATCGAGCAGATACCTGTTTCAATTATCTGTAATTTAAATTCAAATTTTAAAATTTAAAAATTGAATATACTTGGAAAATTAAAAGTATTTTTTTAATTTATAAACAAACAAAAAACTTGGTTATCTTTTTACCAAACGATGATCGTGTACCAATCTCGAATAATACAGTAATATTTGTCGGTATATATTTGGTACAATGTATATACAAGTTGGTATACACAAGAATTTGCACTAATGCACGTCTGCTCAGCAAGATACACATCCGATATAATCCAAAGGATTAGCAAAACAACAAGGGACGAGTATTCCACTTTCTTACTTGCACTTCCAATTTAGATCTTATTCCCTTATTATCTTTCATTTACCACGCATTTTTCCCAAACCTTCAAATATTTGCACATGTCTTTCCTCTATTTACTGAATATTTTTCTTTCCTCCTTATTGAGAAATTGTAGTTTGTTGTATATAGATTTTGCTTCGCAGCATAAAATGGAGGAGAGTTTTGGGAATGATGATATCTAGGCAAATTTTTTAAAAAATTTGCAATTATTGTTTTTTTGAAACGACATTTTTTTATTCCCATAAGATCTTGTATATGGAAATTATTGTGCAATAATGTAAGAAATAATTTTAAAAAATAATTATATTAGAATTCTATCTATTTCTGAAAATTTTTTCCTCCAAAAATCCATCGAAGTAAAATCTATATTAATATCTGTAATTTCTACTAACTAAAAACAAAATTGAAAAAAGATTCAATATAAAAGATTTTCATCGGTATTATTTACGAAGTGATCGTTTAAATTTCCTTAAAAAAGTAACGATCATTCTTTTAATCGTGTCACAAACTAATTCGTGTAACATCGAATTCAGCGAAATTCAAACAAATTTTTCCCAACATTCTTTCGAAAACCGTTGAATTACTTACCAAATGCTTGCCGATTTTTCTTCCAAGACAAAATACCACGCAATTCCGCGAGCAGAAACAATTACCGTAATGAGATATTCGAACCGGAGCGAGTAAGGAACAAGACAAGTTGTTGCCTGAGTCAGCTCTGTCTTTTGAAACTGTCTTGGATGTCTTGGGGATGAGATAAAATGGAGAGAGTTGACTGATCTTGTTTAATTTCGAAAATTCGACGAGTTAAACGTTTCGTTGAATCGGTGAGATAAGATTTTCGTGATTTTTTTTCTTTTTTCTTTTTTTTTTTTGGAGAATAATTTAACGACAATAATTTAAATCCTATGTAAACAGGGTTTGATGTGTTTCGTTTGATCAATCTATTGGCAGGTCCCGAAGCAGGATTATCTTATCCACATTAGGCAAATTCTGGAGGATACGGTGTCTCTCTCAGAGGGAATATCAATGCCACCTAACGTACTCTTCAAGCAAGCACAAACAATCAAATATTGGCTTGGTGGGCGTACCGCGATTGGCGCTGGAACACCGCTGATACAGTTCAAATAGTCTAAGTTACAAGGGGCAGTTAATCGATCCCTCTAATGTTGCATCTTGCGGTTCGTGTTTCATCATCGTGAGATTGCCAAGGAATTCATCGAATAATTTAATTACACCATCGTTGCGCCGTTTTAAAATGAGCACGATTAAAATTTTATATAAAATGGAGAATGAAATTGTAATTCTTGTAGTAGATGAATCATCATTTTAATTATATCTCGAGCCCATTGAAGAAAAGAATTTAATTATATAAACATTCTTGATCTAATGATTAAAAAAATTTGAATCTGTTCGCGTTTGGAAAATGTGATTAAATGAATCGATTAAATATAATCTTGAAAAATATCCTTACTCCTTGATCTTTCTCTCGCCTGTCCTTCTTAATTTCTTTACAACTCTGTGCATCTATATTGGCAGCTCTCAACCTCTTTCAAAAGTGTCGTAACTCGACAATCATACGACACAATTGAACAGCGATTCTTGCGCCAAATAAATATCCAAGAAATGCTCGAATTAATTCGGTCAGCATTCCACTTTTCATAAGATCGTAAATATCGTAAAAACGTATTGTGAACAATATACTGAAGAGGCGAGACAGAATCCACGTTATCGTCATATTTCCTCGAGGAGCAACGATGAACCAAGGATGTATAATATATAATGCATTACAAGCTCAACTATGATTCTGCAAGTACTACTACAAAAGGTAATATCGATAAATGGCGCGTTTCCCTTCGTGTCATTTATCAGGATCACGAGGGGCCAGCATCCCCTCGATGGGTCTCGATGTTCGTCGACGAACAACGTCTATAATAATGTCGCCAGTCGATTTTTGCGACGGTAATTTTTCAATTACTTTTACCAGCATACCAATCCTCTTTTTTTTCCTTTTTCCTTTTTTTTCCCCCTGCCCCTGTGCAAAGGGGTGCGGCGCTCCTCGTATCGATTTCAGATTCCAATTTAATGGCGTCGTGGTATCTGAGCCACGATCTTCCAATACCAATTTCGCGTTATCGGCCTCCGCTCGACGACGATGGCTTCCGTCTTGCCAGACACCATTCGCGCGATCCTCCAAAAGTCCCGAGGACTCCGCGACTCTCAGAACGCGATGATGATGGCATGAGAAATTCAAGGGAAGGTCCAAGTGGTTCCACGAAATTTTTGGGAATCCAGTTATTGTTATTGCGATGTGTTGCTCGAGCTTTTAGAATTGTGAACGTTTGTGAAGAGAATACTGGTATTGGAATTTTTTAATTGCTTTGCAACAAATGTAATTTTTTTAAATATATTTTTGCAATCGTCGGAAAATTGTTCGCAAGATTTTTTTTCGGGGAGAAAATTTTAAAAAGAACGTCGAGATTATACATGTAATCGCAATTTTAAAATACTAGATAGATTATATTATACGTGTAAATTTAAAATTCCTAGAAAGTAAAGTTGTTTTATTTTATAATTCTATGCGGAATTGTATTTCGTAAGTAGACAACTCTACAACTCTGAAACTTGTTATATCAAAATTCCGCGTTCGCTGTATTCTCTTCTTATAATTCTAAAATTCAAAATTCGAAATTTTCTATTTCTCTGAACTCTTCTCTTTCGTTCATTTTCAATATTCTCGAATTTTTTAAATTCCAAACCAGTCGTAACACCATATAACCCCTCTTTCAGTCTATCCTTGATCCTTACTTCCGAATCTCCAATATCCCTCAATATCTCAAATATCTCAAATTGAATGTTCAATTATTCTCGATTAGAAACTCGCCTCGAAACTCATATTGTGAAAAAATTTCTCGACCGATCAGTTCACTCGCAAGAGGAGCCAATGATAAACGCAGGATGGGTTGTTTCGTGTTGCAGTTCCGCCGCACAAAATCGTGATCGTCGATGACTCAGGGATCGCACGGAACTCGATGGTGGGCCCGTACATGAAGGGCGACACACTGCGGCTCTACTGCGACGTGTACGGCGGTAAGTAACGTCACGTCGACCCTTTGTCCTCCTCCTCTTCTTCTCCCCTCTTCCCTTAGCTCTCGAGAGAACGTCCGGTCCAATTCGAAAAACGAGCAGAGATGATGGGTCCGTTGAAGCCTCGTTTCCAACCAAATTTACGTGACGGCGAAATTTCGCGTATGCGGCGGACAAACGCTCGAGAAATTCATTTTAATCCACCACCGTGTGGCGTCTGCCCCCTGTCCCTTATCGCGTAATATATATGTAAAGGAGATTGTTAAAAGAAAAAAAAAATAAAATAAAATAAAATAACAGCGTTTTGGTAACGCGGTGACGTTTTTGAATTTCAAAGTGGGTGTGGGTCTCGTAAAGAGGAATTATATATAAATTGTACGGAATAATATGATTATCCTGGTTGTATTTAAAAATGAAATAACTTGTTTATTATATCACTGTGTTTTAAATTTATTCCATTATTATTCGCGAGGATTGAGAGAGAGAGAAAGATCGTAGATTATTCGGTTATTATAAAAAGTGGGTAATTAAGAGAAAAGATTCTACGATATGTATCGTGTTTTTATTAAATTCAAAGCGCGTATTTATGTTTTAAAATATCCGGAATTTCTACCAACAACTTTTACTTTTTGTCCCAAAGTCGCAAAGTCCGTTTAAATTATTTATTTTTTTCAAGGCGAATTATAATTCTATCCTAATATTTATAATTTATAGAAAGAATAATAATAATTACAGCTTCAGATAGATAAGAAATTCGTGCAATATCGATTACGACAATATAATTTTCACGTACGCCTGATACGCTGTAAAGTAACAAACACGAGATGTCGCCAGTTAACAGCGTTGCGATTCATTTTAATTCGCCTCATTCATAAACCTCGCGATACAATCTCAATTTTTCTTCACAAAACTCATCGTAACGGGGGAAAGGGTTAAAAAAACGATGATGAAACGAACGAACGAATCCATACGTTTCCAATAGCAGGGGACAAAAGAAAACGGAAAAAAGAAGAAAAAAAAATCATCTCAATCAGAGGATCCTTTCAAAAACAAACTATAAAAAATATCCTCGGTCGGAGAATACGGAATCGAGAGAGAAAAAAATAATTTGGAAATTTGGCGTGAAACGTGATCTTTTTTTCTTTTTTTTTTTTTTTT